GCGCCATGCAGTGAGCTCTACAGAGCCGAGGGTGCCCCGGGCATTCAAGTCACACAATTCTGCACAGCTTCAACACACCCGAGAGAAGCACCAGCTCCGTTCCAACCACAGCTGAACAGACAGATAAAAGTCACTGCATTATAAACTACTTCACACACGTAGCAACTCCATCCTCACAAACACAAATGGACAACCAAGATGTTTGTAACCGTTTCTGAAGATCTACAACAGTTCATTACAAAAATAACACGCACAAAGACACAGGGCCCAAATGATGATGTTTTAAAAATGTTCTTCATTAATCAATTGCTCATTGTTTTTAAGCCTAATTAGAAAGTTCAAGACAAAAAAAGCACAACTTTGTTTAAACTGAGTGTATGCTGTACTCCAAAACCACAGTAAAAAAAACAGTCATGTAAAAATGAACGGGACTTTTTGAAGAGCAAAAACACATCTATCAGTTGTTGACATTTACTTTAAACACTTCTTAGTGATAAATGTTTGTTTCTTATTCTATTAAATGAGAAAGATGTGTAATCCATGCTGAACAGAAAACAAACAAACAAAAACCCAAGGACAATGAACCAGTTCCCTATATTTTTAAACACAGGTTTCCTCTGGATTAAAGAAAAACGCATACAGTGTTTCAGGAGAACACAGCAAAAACATTAATTTTCATTATATTTACATTGTTTTCATCTACCAAAACTTTTCAGCAAACCAGCCTCTATCCAAATTCTTAGATGCTCGCAGAGTAAAATGGTTTGTTTCTGAGTTTGACAAGTCATGCTGTAACTCATGTCTGGCGGTTTCTTTCCTCCAGAAAACATTTCTGCTAAAAGAGGCGCGCTCGTGTATTCCGAGAATAACCACCACACAGAGGTCTTCGCAAGACTTGGGAGCAGCTGGTTACTTCAAATTTCTAAAAGCCACACTTCAGAAAACCCCCCACGGTGATCTGAAAGCAGAAAGGTGTACCTCCCGATGGAAACCGCCAAGCTGCATCTCTGCCTCAATGACCGAGTTACCGGTATCGCTCTGATGTTTCAAACGAAAGTGAGAGGAAGAAAAACTAAAGGTTAACCAGACTTGAGATTTATCTAGTTAAGCGCACTGCAAGAACAGTTTCACAACCGGCAACGTAGTTCAATTTAATTGGAGCAGCTCTCCAAGAGCTCTTCCAAATCCGAATTTCTTAGCTAAGATTATAATTAAGACAACTACACAACAAAAAGATCTCCGGTTTGATACAATGACTCTAGGATGAAGTCAGGATCTTTTTTAATATCATTTATGTATGACGTTAAAAAAACAAGGAGGGCATTTTTTTCCTAAATCAGAAAAATAAAGAGAGAAGAGATGGGCGATGATTAAGTCAAGCACACCTTACAGACAACACCTACAAGTAACGGTTTTAGCATTGCTAGAGCAGTTTAAATTACCAGAACAGAGCAGCTCGGAGAGTTTTATTTGGTAGGTTGTACGTTTGCAGGTTCAGGACCTTTCTGCTTTTTCACTTCTACTGAAATACGAGTTCAGTAGCAGCTCAGACCTGGGCTTCTTCATTCAGTATCTTGTTTCAAGTACAATAAAAAATGTGTCATTTTTTACCTACAATTCAAGTGTAGGCTCCAATCCAGACCTCCAGAAACTGAAGATGCAAATTAATCAGTTTTAAGTTGATGTCCCTCCCCATTTAAACACTCAGAGAATCACTGGTGTTTAATTCTTTCAAACAGTGTTTCTGGAGGGAGATATCTTCTTACCAGAGAAATGTGATGAAACAGAGTTCTGAGCTTTGATCTTATTTTTAAATCATCATCCACTTTCAGAAAAGTTTTTTTTACGTCTAAAGCACGTGGTTATACACTTACACTGCCGTTCACACATCCATACCAATTGCTCTTCTCTAATTTCCCCAGCAGATCCACCTGGGCTGCAACAAAGTTAGAGTGGAAAAGACACACTCTAACATATGCATTCAAAACAACAGACTAATCACTTTTGACAGTTATTAATAATGATGGGGTAAAACTACAGGTTAACAGAAAAAAACACTACTTTTAGTCGGCTGAATAAGGATGCACTCGATATTTTCTATGCCAAAAATCTGACATTAATAAAAATAGTAACCCACTTACTAGTAAGTTTTCTAGTCTATTTTAATTTGATTTTACACTAGTAATTCAATACTGACCAATTCTATTCTTGCTGGATTTTATCTTCAGTTGTGCAAGATTACTGCATGAACTTCCAGAACAGCAGTCCAATGAATACACTAGGTGTCAATATTCCTACTACCATCCCCACTTGAAAGGACAATTCCAAAGTGAAATTTGGGGAAAAAAAACCACATAAAATTTCACAAAAAATCAGAAATTTGGTATCTCTAGATGCTTTCAGTTCATAAATACTACATCTTAAGATCAACATCTTGCAGACCATTAACTGCATCTGTAAAATGGACGAGTATTTCAGTTTTCTGAAAAGTAAAAGAATCAAGTAACTGGTGCTCAAAAGACAGAACATGTCTTATGGCACATGCAAAAAGAGGAATATACAACTAGAGATGGAATAAAGTCACAGTGTGCAGTCAGAAAAAAAAAGCGCTTTTATTCTAGACCACTACTGGAACGGGGAACTGGGCTCCATGTTGTTGTGTAATTATTTTTCAGGAATAGAAGGGCAATAACACTAATATTTTTTAAACTATCACACATGATTAAATGCTCTTTAAAAAGAGCCAGCAGAGAGCAAACAATGCCTTTATATAAATCTGTTGACTAAATTCTGAAAATATCCACAGGTCAATGCTGTATCCAAAGTCAGCTAAAGCCCAGCTATAAATATGGTTTAGTTTTGCTTTCTGGACACAAGAAGACAGATGGGAGTCATACTGAAAACCTGTTGTTTAGTCTCAGTCCGTAAGAGCTGAAATACGCCGTTCTCAGCCCCTTGTCTTTTACAATCAATCAAGATTCCGTTGAGCAACTCAAAGTCACTCAGAATTCTTTCACAGATGATGAAAGTAAGCTGATGGGTTTTGTAACTTTTGCCTTTTACTGCTGAAGAAAATGAGTCTGCACCATAGACCTATTATTCTTCATCACTTCCTTTATTAATAATTTAATATCTGTGACATAGTGCAGGCTACTTCGCTTAGCATTCCTTCTGCGCCAGCGGTCCTCTCATCTCCACGAGGGCAAGAAGAGGTAGGTGTGAGGGATTACTAATCTCATTCTCAAAGCATTCATCAATCTCAGAGATTTTTAATGGATGAGTGTTCTAAAGGTCTGAAGAAAATCAGATCTGAAGACATTAATGGATTAGCTGTTTCTTCAAAATTTACATATACAACGGCATAAAAGGCATCAGATTTGTCTGTGCAAATCTGTGCCAAACAGCCAAGTCAAAAAAGGTCACTATACAACAAATACACTCCAAATCTTAGAAACTTTGTTCCCAGCATAGCTGACAGAGCTGTATGAAATGCTAACAGACTCCATGAAGAGTACATTTCGTATGTATTTTCATGCTGATGTATCAGCACTATCTGCAATCCGATCATTTTTTTGAGCGGAGCTCATCAGACAGTCTCAGTCTCCTTTAATTCCCCATTGACCCAAAATGAATTACCCTTTGGAAGCAACTGCGTCTCACAACATATGAACAGGACAGAACCTAAAAGCTCTTTATAATACGTGTATGTTGTATGAGTATCCATAAAAGTCAAAGAATCCTAGGTTCAGATGCCTTAAAACAACATTTTCAGAAACAATCTCCGGTATGTGAGACTTTCAGTAGACTGACTTCTGAAGCGTTCCGAGTATCAAAGTTTTAAAGTACCTTGTTGAATCGTTAGTCAGTTCTGAATCTTTGAATGCACTCTTAAACGCTCAGTTTCAGGCTATCTGGAATTAATCCTTACCACTAATTGTATCCTAACCGGTTCACACCCAACATGCTTTTGCTTTTACCAGTGGCTGGAGATCACGCAGAAGAAACCGAGTAACTCCTAAGTTAGAGTCCTTCTCTTTCAATGATAAAGATCAAAAAGACAACACATTTACCTCAAGTACAAAGGTCAGCTCCTAAGTGCATTCTGCCGCATTAATTTCCTAAAGTAACTTCTCCGTCTCTGGCACATGAATGTAAATGTGAACTACCACATCCAGAATAACACTTAAGTAATTATTCAACAAATATGTTTGAAAAAGCAGTTAGGAAAATTATTAAATTGAAGCCTAGCATTCAAATTACACCTATATTAAAAAAAAAATCACTGATAGTTTCAAACTAATCATAAAAGATAAGCTTATCATATGTTGTATTCACCTAAAAAGGAGTGTCCCTTACATCATCTTGTTTGTGGTTAAAATATAGCAACTAACGTTAATTTCAGTATATCCAACCACATAAAACAGAGTAGCTTTATACGGCTAATCTAAAATTCTTAAATTTCACTACAGTTGATTTCTGTGTCCAAGACCTAAAGAATTTTCAGAAAAATCTGACACTACACACTATCCTGTTAACACTCTGTTTTTAATATTAATTTCCTTATAAAAATTGTTTACAGTTGCTAAAACAACTATTTTACATTCATAAGAATTATACAAGAGGACTGTCACAGCAAGTTACAGGAGGAGATGGCCAAGTAGATTTTGTTTCCCAAAGGCGGCATTTATTTTCCTGAAACAATATTTCAACTTGGTGACAGGAAATCCTGAGGGTTGCATGTGTTAATTTACAGGGTTTACAACAGAAAGCTACACTGTTATAGCAAGCAAAACTAGTAAAAATGAAAAAAAACCCACAAAACAACTAACCAGCCAAGCGATTCTTTCAGATTCATCCACTCCTATCTGATGCTTGCTGTACTGCCTAACAATTCAAGGTTGGACCCATGATACGATCTCTGAAGCTTCCAGCTGAATCCTAGTTCATTCCACCAGCAGATTTACTCTGCTCCAGTAAGCCTTATAGTTAGATCAGCATACCTTCAGAGTTCAGCGTAATAAGCGTGACATTGTTCCCAATACTTTGGCTTCCTAATTGTCCACTGTTGGAAACCGAGTCACTGGCCTCAGAGCCGCTCTCTCCGTCTTCATTGTGACTGTCGTCGTGCCCTGGAACTTTCACCACTATGGTGTTCTGCCTACGTCCAGGAACAGCACTATGGAAAAGAAAAGTACGTAACTTTGGGGAAAACAATCCTTGATCAGGAATAGCATCATTATGAGGGAATTAAAAACACTGACAAAATCAAATGTACTATAAAAGTATATTCCTTTAAACAAGCGTACTCTTGTCTATAACTTAGAGCCATCCACCAAAATAAAATGGAAGGAAAATAGCATAAGAAATAAAAAATTCTAGAGGCACATTTTCTAAATTTGCATCAATGGAGAAGTCCATGAACAAGCCTTCCTTGTGCTGCATATTCCTTCTTCAGCTGGTTAGACGCACGCTCTTGGCATGTTCCCAAGTGATCGTGCAGCCATGTAAAGAATGCGTAGCTATGGGCACTCTTACTTTCAACTGTCAGCTGTCAACTAAGATTGAACTAATCCAGATCCTTCAAGACGTTCTTACCCAGCCAGAGGGAAGCACTGCTCTGTCCCTTTACTGCTGATACGAGGTTCCCTAGGCAGAACTGTCGCCTGATCAAATATTCAAGAACCAGTTCAATGCTTTTTCCCCCCACCATTACACACAACATTCCTCAGTTTCCACTTCAAATTGCTGCAGAGACTGATATTGATCTGTCAAAGCAGGGAACAAAGTGGGAGGATTCCCGTAACTGCTACTAACTTGCTAAGGATATTTTCCAGAGAATCCGCTGTTCTGCTCAACGGCTCCTCCTGCCCCACCATCTTGGCTACAATTGAATTCTGCCGGTCGTTGTTCAGTATTACTGTGGTCTGAGGGACAACACTACAAGACAAAAATCAGAGAGGAAAATGGAATGTAAAGGAGCAAACCTTATAAATAATACATTGACACAGCCTTACAGTTTAAATAGTCTACTTCAAAACAGAGCCTGCCTCTAAGCCTTGCTCTTTCTCCTAGCGTCGCGGTTATGTATCAAACGCTAAAGCTGGTAATCCATCGAATTTGACATCTGTACCATTTCAAGTACTCAAATTTTTTTCAGTGGACGGATGGCTTCAATGGAATTGTATAAAAGTCCACGACTCCTGGCAAAAAGATAAAGAATTCATCAACTCAAGATACACAGAAGGAAGTCTGTAAATCACAGCTCCAAAGAGCCACCAAATCCTCGTTTTGAAAACTCTGACAGTGAGCATTTTCAGCGATATTACAGCCAACTTACATGGTAATGCACCGCTTTTAGAAGGATAATCCTAGGAAAAAAATGTGAAAGTATTTATTGCAAAATTGGATTATAAACTTTGTTAAAAAGCATGTGTTGTCTTCCAGGGCTGGGGGCTTGTGGAGGGCAGGGAGCCAAGAGCAGTACCAGGAGCACCAGCGCAGAGCAGGGACAGACTGTAACTGCAATAATGACAAGACTACACTGCTTCTTGGGTGGCCCTTCACACACCAAAAAAAAAAAAAAATCTGAAACAAACAACAGAAAAGCATTTAGTGTGTGAGAAACCAGGAAGCCTTCTCCATCACTTGCGATGGCAATGTAGAGGGAAATAACTAGGAAAGTGTTGCATAGCAAAACACACTAAGTCTACACTATCATACAACAGTAAACATGAAGTAAGTAATTGCCTCCAGCACGCAGCTTATAATTTAATTTGGTTTCAGAGATTATTAGCATTATTCCCACACCATTACTCAATATTCTATGGCATGGTTTTGACATTTAAGACTGTTTCCACTGCGCTCATGGTAAACTTAAGGAGAGAACTTCAAAGAAAATTTAGAGAAGGCTTTCTTCTGTCTCTCTGCTTCCCACAGTAAACAGTCCACTATTGTTTCTACCGGTCCAACATCTCAAACGTGACTGATGGTCATTTATTTTTCCTAACTGTATTCCTTGGCTAACTGTTGAAACACAAATTAAACAGATCTGATGACAGCAACTCTCTGTTTACTTCAGCTGTAACAGAGCGCCTGCTTACTTGAATATTCACGTGTCTACATAAGACTAAGTGCTGCAATATCCATCGTTAAGACCTAAAGAAAAGATAAGCAACTGTCATAAGAGCTAACAATAACTGGACCTCACCACTGGCACAGATGAAATGGCTGACCACAGGTTTCCCGGACACAAAAAGCCGAGGGCCTGACGCCCTGCGTCCCTCTGACAGGAACTGCACAAGCTGCAACGACCGGGGCTCCTCAGGGACTGCCAGCGGTCTGCTGGACGGCAACCCTGAGCAGCTCTGGAAGATGTCTGCCTCCTCCCAGACAAGTACAGACTGTACTCTAGCTGTGCATGTCTACGGGAAGCTCAGACTGTATTAGGCAATAGATGGGGGGTTCCTGCTGGGTGTTCTTAGTTGCTGTCTAGAGTATAGGGGTTTATGATGCTTTCATAGTTACCTTTTCAAAACTTTCTCTGTTATCAACGGGGAAGCACCCGCACATTTATTTTTTTTAAAAATGGCAATTTCTGCCTATTTTCTCAATGCCAGCACTACTCATTTAAAAAACCCACACCACACAAACAATACGTGGAAGGCAGGCTGTCCCCCCAGCCTAGCAGCAATACAGGTTCTCGTCACATTTCCAAAACTGTCCCAAGAGCTACACTGGAAGTTTTTACATGCCAGTTTAAAACATTCAAGAATTTTACACTTCCTTTTAGACACTGTTCTTTAACACCATCTTTCTTGCAATCACTTCTGAAAGCCTGTTTAAAATGTCACTTACCAAAGCTTATTTTTAATGAACACTCTGAATAATTAATTTCAGCTATAGAGATAAATGCAATAAAATCACATTTTTCAAGTCTTCAGGATTTTTCTCATATTAAGTTTATATTTGAAGAAGAGTCTTGGCATTAAAAATGGGCATAAAATAAGGAAGAAGTGTGGGGGTTGCCCTCTTTTTTTTTTTTTTTTTTTTTCATTTTTAACAAAGACAATCTAGAGTGTGAGCTGTATGGCATACAGCTAATATAAGCAAATTTCGAATAAGGAAATACTTTTATACAATCAACCAGCACAGATTTATTTCCTTTTCACTGCATCACTGTATGCTCAAGCTTGCTTACTCAAATGCAAAAATATTTTTTTCAAATTCATCTCCAAACAAACACCCATGAAAACACTGTCTCCTCTCTAAGAATTAACTTTTCCCAGTTAGTAGGTGAAGAAGTGACAGGAAAAATCCACCTTCAGAGTTGTTTTGGGAGGAGCCACTAACTAAAAATATCATTTTACTGACATCTGTTTTCCTGGCTATACAGCACAAAGGCAACACCAGACACCAAGTGCACAGGGAAAACCTCCGTGACAAGCCACAACTGCCACCAAATTGTCCAGCAATTGTTTTACCCATGGAAATGACCTCTTCTCAAGTTGTAAGGACTCAAAGAATCTCTAAAGCAGTTTGGAGAGAAAACAGAGACACAGAAAGCACAGTGGTAGAGAACAGCCAGAACAAGCATTTGGAAATGTTCAATACAGCACAACAAATCTACAGTCACCAATTAACCTTTCCCTGTGATTAACCTGCCTGAGTAGGAACTCTGCATCTAGTCGGAAAATAACTAATGAAGTTTCTCGTCTGTTACCAGGAATCATTAGTGCTGGGTAAAAGGTTATTTCTGTGTTCTGTATCTACTAACACAAAGACTCCAGTAAATCTCATCAAATGCTTTTCCAGTCTTAAAGAAGGAATTTCTTCTGTTGAATGCTTAACTCCTGAAGACTGATGCTTTCAAAAGCAGTCTGCCTGCGGAGGATGAGGTAGCCTATCCTAAGGTCATAAACGTTCACCAACAAACTGCACTTCTGGTCCCTGTTCTGCATAGACCAAGAACGGCTGCAGATGACAAATTCTGACAGTGAGGCATCACGGGGCAGAAACTTTTCAGAGCTGATGCTGTGAAACTTCAGCAGTTACTCGCCTGGAAGAAAATAAGAATTGAGACCAATACAAAAAGGCACTATTGTGCTTGAAAACAGAGTTTCACAGGATTGTCTTAGGCTCCCATTTGTACACAGGAGAAATGGACATCCACAAGATTCCCCGCAGACACAGGAATATGCTTCCCAGTAACTCTCCCGTGAGATGTTCTATTCTCCGTTCTCAGATTTATTTATTTTAAAGAGACAACAGTAAGAAATCTGCTGAATATACACGAAATTAAACAAGGATTTCTAAGTAAAGGCAAAATATTGGGCCAACCTGACAAAATCCATTAGTGGAAATTATTAAAACTTATCGCAGCCAAGGGAATCCTCACACTGGATTATTCTAATTCCTTTTTTCAGTCTGTACATCTCACACTGAAGATGAATCAACTTTAATCATTACTTCTGTGCTAAAATACAGAAAACAAAAATCACAAAGGAGGAGAAAAAAAGCTTCTGATATTCACTCAGATCCCAAATGAAGCAATTCTTTCTACGAGTTCTGCCAGTACTATACTCACAGAGAAGATGGAAAGAAAATATTAAGAGGGGTCAGGGGGAGTTCTTCAGAAACCCAGGGCTGTTGCACAGGCTTCAGTACTTTCCATCTGTGCTCACATATTCCTTTCCCCAGAAGCACCAGAACTTGGAGACACCGATTCTGCAATCTGCCTACTCTTGGACACAGCTTCATAAAAAATTTAAAAAGCACGCAACCTACAGATATTATTACATCTGGGGAAATTTTATAAATGCAGTTTACTGAATAATCTGTTAAATTACAGGTAAAAATTTCTTTAAAAACAAACATACCAGACAGTGATTTTCAAGCACGCATATTTAGCCGCTGCATTTTTTTTTTTTAATATAAAAGGACATTCTATATTTTGCATAAGAAAACTGCTGCCAAAGGTAATTTTCAGTATGGAAAATGGGTGAGTCATAGATACGATCATTAGTCTTAACTGTTGGTTTTTCACTGCCAATAACCTGTCAATCACACAGAATGCAGCCAATGACATATAAGAACTTTTGGCAATACCAGGACCATCACCACCACCTCTTCCCAGACGAGGTTTTCATTTAGAAAGAGAAAAAATAAAGCAAAAGGAAGTAATTGCCATTTCTATCTTCCACAAGGTACAAGATCAAAAGCATACTCCACATGGATGAAAATTACTTCTGGAAAAACCTCGGACTAAAATTTTCAGACAAGAGGTTGTTCTTGTTTTCCTAGACACACCAACATAGATCAGTTAATGGAGTATTTATAGCAGTGCTCAACCAGTTAAAGAAAAGAAAGAAGAGAGCCCTCTGTCTAGACCATTTCTGAGTCTCCCTTGCACACGTGAACATCTGCCAACAGGTAAGTAAGAGCGCGGAGACCGAGCTCGGCTTCGAGACATTCAGCTAGCCACGTCCACAGGAACCGCAGCTGCCTGCCTGAGGAACACTTTGTGGTGGCTGCAATGCCCAGGCAGCGTGTGCTGCCTATCTGGAAGGCAGGGCTCCTGGGGATACCCGTCTCCGCTTCCTCTAGTGACCTGTTAGCAGGAGGAGACGCAGAAAGAGAGCAGATCAAGAAGGCAGGAGCTGGAGTTACTGCTGGCAGACTGCTTGTACTAAAGGTCTCCAGACAAACACAGCCTTAAGGAAAACAAGGCTGGGAAAGAGACCTTGAACTCTAGTATTTTCCAGTTTACTGCTCAGGACAAACATGAAGACTGAAACGTATAGGTCATGCATGTGTGGGGGCTCTGGAGGAATATTACAATCAGTGAAGAAAATCTAAATGTTTTTCAAATTATACAGAAAAATACCATTTTAGAAGTGCTGTTTTCCTTATTTTTTTTCTTTTTTTATCTTTCACCAATA